GGACTAGGCTGCCGAAGTTCTATCAACATATCGACTGTTGTACTCGGGCTTCTAAAATTCTCGACCATTGCTATTCGAATTTCCGGGTTGGTTATAAGGCCCTCCCCCGCCCTCCTTTCGGCAAATCTGACCACGACTCCATTTTGCTCCTCCCTTCCTATAGGCAGAAACTCAAACAGGAAGTACCCGTGCTAAGGCCTATTCAACGCTATTCTGACCAATCAGAATCTATGCTTCAAGATTGTTTTCATCACGTGGACTGGGATATGTTCCGGGTAGCTTGCGTAAATAATTTAGACGAATACACTGAAACGGTGACTGAGTTTATCAGGAAGCGTATTGGAGATGTTGTGCCCACTGTGACTATTAAATCCTACCCTAACCAGAAACCGTGGATAGATGGCAGCATTCGCACAAAACTGAAAGTGCGAACCACCACATTCAACCATGGCAAGGTGACTGGGAATATGGCAGAATACAAACAGTGTAGCTACTCACTCCGCAAGGCAATTAAACTGGCAAAACATGAGTATAGAGACAAATTGGAGTCGCAATTCAATGGCTCAGACACGAGGCGTATGTGGCAGGGACTACAGACAATCACGGACTACAAAAGGAAAACCAGCCGAAGTCTCGCTTCCGGACAAGCTAAACACCTTCGCCCTCTTTGAGGATAACACAGTGCCACTGACAAGGCCCACTACCAAGGACTGTGGCCTCTCCTTCTCCGTAGCCGACGTGAGTAAGACATTTAAGCATGTTAACCCCCGCAAGGCTGCCGGCCCAGACGGCATCCCTAGCCGCGTCCTCAGAGCATGCGCAGACCAGCTGGCTGGTGTGTTTACGGACATATTCAATCTCTCCCTATCCCAGTCTTCTGTCCCCACATGCGTCAAGATGGCCACCATTGTTCCTGTACCCAAGAAAGTAAAGGTAACTGAACAAAATGACTATCACCCCGTAGCACTCACCTCTGTCATCATGAAGTGCTTTGAGAGACTAGTCAAGGATCATATCAACTCTACCTTACCTGTCACCCTAGACCCACTTCAATTTGCTTACCGCCCCAATAGAATCACAGATGATGCAATCGCCATCACACTGCACACTGCCCTATCCCATCTGGACAAGAGGAATACCTATGTAAGAATGCTGTTCATTGACTATAGCTCAGCATTCAACACCATAGTACCCTCCAAGCTCATCATTAAGCTCGAGGCCCTGGGTCTGAACCCCGCCCTGTGCAACTGGGTCCTGGACTTCCTGATGGGCCGTCCCCCAGGTGGTGAAGTTAAGAAACAACATCTCCACTTCGCTGATCCTCAACACTGGGGCCCCACAAGGGTGCGTGCTCAGCCCCCTCCTGTACTCCCTGTTCACCCATGACTGCGTGGCCAAGCACGCCTCCAACTCAATACACCTAAATTATCAATGGAAATCAAATGTATCAACCCATGGAGGTCTGGATTTGGAGTCACCCTCAAAATTAAAGTGGAAAACCACACTACAGGCTCATTCAACTTTGATGTAATGTCCTTAAAACAAGTCAAAATGAGGCTCAGTAGTGTGTGTGGCCTCCACGTGCCTGTATGACCTCCCTACAACGCCTGGGCATGCTCCTGATGAGGTGGCGGATGGTCTCCTGAGGGATCTCCTCCCAGACCTGGACTAAAGCATCCGCCAACTCCTGGACAGTCTGTGGTGCAACGTGGCGTTGGTGGATGGAGCGAGACATGAGTTACATTGTGTTGTTTAAGTGTTCCCTTTTTTTTTTTGAGCAGTGTATAATCAGAACCTGTCTGTCTTCCTGTCTCATCTCTCTCTCTGTGTGAGATGGAGAAAGTAAAACGTGTGTGAGACTATAACGCTGTGCAGTGTGTATGTAGGTGTGAGACTATATAATTACATTTTTAAATGTTTTGTCATTTAGCAGACGCTCTTATCCAGAGCGACTTAGTTAGTGAGTGCATACATTTTTTCCATAGTGGCCCCCCGTGGGAATCAAACCCACAACCCTGGCGTTGCAAGCGCCATGCTCTATCAACTGAGCTACACGGGACCCATCATGCAGACCGTGATAATACACAGCAACTAGCCATTGTCACCTTTCCTTCTAACAGTACAGAAATATACACATGTACTGCACATCCTGTGGACAATCATCCTTTCTCCTACTCTGTCGATTGGTGCCACTTACAAGCGGTTAACTGGGCATGGTTAGAGTCAATGCCATTTCATTTAAGTCAATTCAGGAAGTAAACTGAAATTCCAATTCCAATTTTCCTCATGAAAAAGCTGTGAGGAAAATTTGAATTTGAATTTCAGTTACTGAAACGGACTTAATTTAATTGGAATAGACCCTGATCACATGTGTTCCCTTGCTAACTGGCAGCTTTCAGGATAATAATAATATATAATATAATGCTGTGCAGTGTGTATTTAGGTGTGACTATAATGCTGTGCAGTGTGTATTTAGGTGTGAGACTAATGCTGTGCAGTGTGTATTTAGGTGTGACTATAATGCTGTGCAGTGTGTATTTAGGTGTGACTATAATGCTGTGCAGTGTGTATTTAGTGTGACTTGACTATAATGCTGTGCAGTGTGTATTTAGGTGTGACTATAATGCTGTGCAGTGTGTATTTAGGTGTGACTATAATGCTGTGCAGTGTGTATTTAGGTGTGACTATAATGCTGTGCAGTGTGTATTTAGGTGTGACTATAATGCTGTGCAGTGTGTATTTAGGTGTGACTATAATGCTGTGCAGTGTGTATTTAGGTGTGACTATAATGCTGTGCAGTGTGTATTTAGGTGTGACTATAATGCTGTGCAGTGTGTATTTAGGTGTGACTATAATGCTGTGCAGTGTGTATTTAGGTGTGACTATAATGCTGTGCAGTGTGTATTTAGGTGTGACTATAATGCTGTGCAGTGTGTATTTAGGTGTGACTATAATGCTGTGCAGTGTGTATTTAGGTGTGACTATAATGCTGTGCAGTGTGTATTTAGGTGTGACTATAATGCTGTGCAGTGTGTATTTAGGTGTGACTATAATGCTGTGCAGTGTGTATTTAGGTGTGACTATAATGCTGTGCAGTGTGTATGTAAGTGTGAGACTGACTGTTTCTGTGTCTAGGTGGCCAACCTGGCGTGCTCCATCTCTAATAATGAGGAGGGAGTGAAGCTGGTCCGTATGGCTGCTTCCCAGCTGGAGACACTCTGCCCCCAGGTACCTGCCGGTCTCTCTACCCACTCACTCTCCATCTCCTCTAATCCACCCATCTCTCCTTCCTCTGCCCCTATCCCACCCATCTCTCCTTCCTCTCTACCCCTATCCCACCCATCTCTCCTTCCTCTCTGCCCCTATCCCACCCATCTCTCCTTCCTCTTTGCCCCTATCCCTCTCCCATCTCCATTGCCTCTCAGCTCATCCCCAACCCCGAGGTACTTGCCCAGCTGCCCAACCCGCATCCCCTTCCCCCTCTACCCTCTCCTCTCCAACCTCCAGGCCGATAGCCCAGCCATGCTGCCAACACTTCATACCTCCAGCCCCCCATGCCCAACCCCCATCCATCTCCCTTCAGCCCCAACACCCTTCTCTGCCTGATCCCCGGCCCCATATCCCTGCCAAGATGCCGACACTTCACACCTCCAGCCTTCCATGCCCAACTCCCTCCCCCCTCGTCCCACATAACCTGCCAGCTTCACTTCCTCATCCAACCTCCAGCCCCCACTTAACCCCTTTTAAGGCCCTCCTCTCCCCTCAGCCAGCCCTACAGCCAGCCAACATCCCATAACGCCAGACTACCACTCCTCCCCAGCCCTCCAGCCAGCCAACCCCCCACCACGCCAGACTACCACTCCACCCCAGCCCTACAGCCAGCCAACATCCCATAACGCCAGACTACCACTCCACCCCAGCCCTCCAGCCAGCCAACCCCCCACCACGCCAGACTACCACTCCACCCCAGCCCTCCAGCCAGCCAACCCCCCACCACGCCAGACTACCACTCCACCCCAGCCCTACAGCCAGCCAACATCCCATAACGCCAGACTACCACTCCACCCCAGCCCTCCAGCCAGCCAACATCCCATAACGCCAGACTACCACTCCACCCCAGCCCTACAGCCAGCCAACCCCCCACCACGCCAGCCTATAACTCCACCAGTCATATTGCTGAAACCTCCAGTGCCCAGAGGCTAAGGGTTGGTTTGGGAACCATAGCTAGCTCTGCCAACCTTCATTCCATCCTACCTACAGCCCTTCCAGTTCCCAGTTGAGAGACAAGATCTCATTTGATGCCCAGGGTCCTTCAATTCAAAGTCCCATTAACCAGCTCTGCAAATGGTATGTCAAAATACGTTCGATACTCACCAAAATATAGAGTTTCGCAGAACTGTCGTCATTACTACCGTCACGCACATCATTTACTTTAAAAAAAAAACACACAAATAAATCCACTTTCAGCACCTCCAATAAAATCCCTTGTTACTGTCCCTCACAGGTCGGCTGGCCCTCACAGGTCGGCTGGCCCTCACAGGTCGGCTGGCCCTCACAGGTCGGCTGGCCCTCACAGGTCGGCTGGCCCTCACAGGTCGGCTGGCCCTCACAGGTCGGCTGGCCCAGCAGCAGTACAGTGTCCTGAAGGTCATTGATAAAAACATATTTCTAGACCTGTTTTAGAAGTAAATATTGTGCTAAACGGCAGCAATGACAATAGTTGGTGACTACCGAAGATATTTTGACGTAATGTTTGCAGAGCTGGTTAATGGGATTTTGAATTGAAGGATCCTGGGCTGATGATTGACAGATGAGATCTAATCAAATTCATCAAGGCCAGGTACTGGTACTGGTACTGGTACTGGTACTGGTACTGGTACTGGTTGACCTCTATCTCAGTCAGCCTCAGCCCGTATCCACCTGTACCATTAGCCCTCTCCTCCTGACCTAACATCCTCCTGGTTAAATAGAAGTTCAATGAATGAAGTAATAGCCACCCCATGGCTCCCCACCCCATGGCTCCCCACCCCATGGCTCCCCACCCCATGGCTGCCCACCCCATGGCTCCCCACCCCATGGCTCCCCACCCCATGGCTCCCCACCCCCCCCATGGCTCCCCCCATGGCCCCACCCCATGGCTCCCCACCCCATGGCTCCCCACCCCATGGTCCCCACCCATGTCTCCACCAAAGCTCCCACCCCATGGCTCCCACCCCATGGCTCCCCACCCCATGGCTCCCCACCCCATGGCTCCCACCCCATGGCTGCCCACCCCATGGCTGCCCACCCCATGGCTCCCCACACCCATGGCTCCCCACCCCATGGCTCCCCACCCCATGGCTGCCCACCCCATGGCTCCCCACCCCATGGCTGCCCACCCCATGGCTCCCCACCCATGGCTGCCCACCCCATGGCTCCCCACCCCATTTCTCTCTATTCATCACCCCATCCTCTCTGCCAACCCTTCTTCCCTACACCTACATCCTAGCCCTGCCAACCCTCTCCGTTAGTCTGCCCCTCCATGCTCTCCCCACCTCTCTGCTCTCCCCACCTCCTCTCTCTCTCTCACCTCTCTCTCTCTCCCCCTGGCTCTCCCCACCTCTGCCCCTCATCTCCCCCCACCCACTCTGCCCCTCTCTCTCCACTCTCGTCACCCCTCTCTCTCTCCCCTCCACCTCTGCCTCCTCTCCTACTGCCACTCGCTCCTCTCCACCTCTCTCTCGCTCTCCCACATCCCTCTCTCTCTCTCTCACCTCCTCTCACATCCACCTCTCTCGCTCCCACCTCTGCCCCTCTCTCTCTCCCACCTCTGCCCCATCTCGAAATCACATCTGGCTGCCCCCTCTGCCCCTCATCCCTCTCTCCTTCACCTCTCCCCTCTCTCTCTGCTCCCACTCCCACCTCTGCCTCTCTCCCACCTCTTGCCCCACTCTGCCCTCTCTCTCCCTCTCCCTCTCTCTCTGCTCCCTCTCTCTCTCCCCCCACCTCTGCCCTCTCTCTCTCTCCCCTGACCCTCTCCTCACCTGCTCTCCTCTCTCTCTCACTCCCACCCTCTCTCGCTCTCTCACCTCCTCTCTCTGCTCAACTCTCTCCCTCTCTCCTCTCTCCACCTCTCTCACCTCTCTCCTTTCTCTCTCTCACTTCTGCCCCCTCTCTCTCTCCCAACTCTGCCCCCTCTCTCTCTCCCAACTCTGCCCCTCTCTCTCCCAACTCTGCCCCTCTCTCTCCCACCTCTCTGTCCCTCTCTCTCCCACCTCTCTGTCTCTCTCTCTCTCTCACTCTCTCACATCTGCCTCCCATTCATCCTCAGCTTTAATCTCACCACATGTATTTCCCCAAGATAACAAGCCATTGCGCATTCACTCCATACACCCTTTTCCCAGTGAATCACTCCTACTCAGCAATTAGCCCCCATACTAGGCAGAGTCTTAATTGTTGTGAATGTGTGAGGAGTGGTGTGTGGTGTGTGTGTGTGTGAGGGGTGGTGTGGTGTGTGTGTGAGGGGTGGTGTGTGTGTGTGTGGTGAGGGGTGGTGTGTGTGTGTGTGTGTGAGGGGTGGTGTGTGAGGGGTGGTGTGTGTGTGTGTGTGGGGGGGTGGTGTGTGTGTGTGAGGGGTGGTGTGTGTGTGTGTGCGGGGTGGTGTGTGTGTGTGTGCGGGGTGTGTGTGTGTGGGTGTGGTTTGTGAGGGGTTTTTGGGGGGTGTAGGTGGGGGTGTGTGTGTGTGTGTTGTGTGTGCAGGGGTGGTGTGTTGTGTGGTGTGAGCTGGGTGAGTGTGTGTGTGTTTTTGTGTGAGTGGGTGGTGTTGGTGGTTTGTGTTGGTGTGTGTGCGGGGTGTGTGTGTGGTTGTGCGGGGGGTGGTTTGTGTTGGTGTGTGTGAGGGGTGGTGTGTGTGTGTGTGTGTGGTGTGCTTGGGTGGTGTTTTGTGTTTGCTGAGGGGTGGTGTGTGTGTGTGAGGGGTGGTGTGTGTGCTGGTCTGAAAGGCTGATCTTTAGATAATTACACATTCCTTATACTAATCTTTCTAATGCTGTAGTAATTGGTGTGTGATTGCTCTGTAACAGGTGATTAACGCAGCTCTGGCGCTAGCTGCGAAGCCCAACAGTAAGGTTGCTCAGGACAACATGGACCTCTTCAAAGACTCCTGGGAGAAACAGGTCCGCGTCCTCACTGATGCCGTCGATGACATCACCAGCATCGACGACTTCCTCTGTGTGTCCGGTAAGGGGGGGGGGGCAGCAGCAGAGCTTTCTTTGCATGTCCATGCCAATACATATTCACTTTCAGATTATTCTTGTGAATTGAAATATGCTTTACAAATGTAATGTTCATATTATATATGGTCAAAGGTAGTTTTGTTCGGTGTAGAATTCCGTTTCTGGTTCTATTGTCAGGAGTTTGATGCATGGTTCACACCCAAGCAAAAGTGATTCTCCTAGTGTAGCAGCTGAAAACCTATTGTTTTCTCAACACCCCAGTGTATCTCTCCTGTTAGCCTAGCTGTTGAAGCGGGACAGGTGAAAGACAGGAGGAGGAAGCGATCAGAGTAGGGCCCTATCAAATCCATGATGAGGACGGAATCATGGAATTCAGACATTAAAACGAAATTCAACAATAGTCAAAAATGTGTTGAACTTAGTAGGGAATCAACTAAATGTATTAAACATTTTTGAATTACCCCAAGTTTATCGTAAGGTATGAACATAATGCGTCAATGATTCGTATTTCCTGCAACTTTCTGAAAAGGCAACGAGAGCTCCGCGTATGTGCGGTGCGTAGGTCTACCACTTTGTGTAGCTGTTGGAGAAGATGCTAATGAAAACTTCTGGTAAATGCGAAGGCATTCCCAAAAACCTTCTCAATTAAATGTTAACTACATATTAGCCTGTACTTACCTGGCAAAATGATATCATGATTATTTTCATCAATCCAGTGGGTATTTGTTTGTCTAACTCTAGAAAAACACCACTAAACAGCCTCTTGCTTGGTGCAAAATGGAATTAAAGGGTAAATACATCCAAAAATCCCAACAGCAAAAAAGAATCCCAGACTTCAAAAGTAAAATAAAATAAAAAAGGTGTGTTTTGAGAGCGAAAACTGAAGAAAAAAATGAAACCAGAAACTTGGAAAAACTAAACGCAGGAAACAGAATTTGGGGGGGGGGGATCAATAAAAAGAAAAATAATTTTATAGGGCTTTAAGAGTCTTAATTGGACACCGCATCAAAATGTTTTGCAACCAAACAAGCATTTCTTATTGGAGAAGTTCTGGTAGACCCTCCGTTAGCTTCCGTTTGGGTCCTAGTAAATACACCCCTGGTGAGGAAGGAAGGCAGAGTCTTAATTGGCCTCTTGTCTGTCGCTGTTAGACATTATTTAGATATATTTGCTTCTTAGCGTTTAGTCGTGTTAAACGTAGACTGAGAGGAGCTTAGATTAGGAGCAGGTATTCGTCTTCTCTGATGAGAACAGGACCCATATATTTAACACAGCCGCTTGATTGGCTTCCTGCCCTCAGCCTCCACGCTCCGACCAACCAGACAGGAGCACTAAGGATTCCCAAATAGCACCCTATTCCCTATATAGTGCAGTACTTTTTGACCAGAGCCCCCTCGGGAAGCTTATACAGCTCTGGTTAAAAGTAGTGCACTATATGCTATTTGGGACTGCTTGGTGCTGAACTGAGAGCAGAGAGAATTGACATCCTGTCATGTACGCGCGACTAAATATTTTGCTGTTCGAACCTGGATTTTTTATTTTTTTTGAACGTTAAATGTATCAGATATTTTTCATTGCACACTCCTACACAACTTTGGCGCACACTTACTCCTTGTAAAAAAACAAAGGTCAGCGTAGAGTCCTGATGTACAGTGGGGGGGGGAAAAGTATTTAGTCAGCCACCAATTGTGCAAGTTCTCCCACTTAAAAAGATGAGAGAGGCCTGTAATTTTCATCATAGGTACACGTCAACTATGACAGACAAAATTAGGGAAAAAAATCCAGAAAATCACATTGTAGGATTTTTTAATGAATTTATTTGCAAATTATGGTGGAAAATAAACAGGCCTCATTATGTAGTAAGCACAGTGACTCCTCTCACCTCCAAACCAAGGACACGCTCTGAAGACGGTCTGGCAGATTATGTCCCCCAAACAAATAGTTTCAGTAGGATTGTCAGCTACCTATGGAGTTAGTTTAACCACTTTCTGATGCTTCTGCTGCTTGTTCTGTAGGAGTTGAGATTCAGAACCCAGTTTTTTTATAATAGGCTCTGTATGAATAAACATTGGTTGATTTTTGTATCTTCCCTTCCAGAGAACCACATTCTGGAGGACGTGAACAAGTGTGTGATAGCGCTGCAGGAGAAGGATGTGGACGGGCTGGACCGGACGGCCGGGGCCATCCGGGGCCGCGCTGCCAGAGTGGTCCATGTGGTCACATGTGAGATGGACAACTATGAACCTGGAGTCTACACAGAGAAGGTTCTGGAGGCCACCAAGCTACTCACTAACACAGGTAACATCTCTCTCTCTCTCTCTCTCTCTCTCTCTCCTCCCGTCTCTCTCTCTCTCTCCTCTCTCCTCTCTTCCTCCTCTCTCTGCTCTCTCTCTCTCCTGTCTCTGTCTCTCTCTCTCTCCTCTCTCTTTCTCTCTCTCTCTGTCCTCTCTCTCCTCTCTCTCTTCTCTCTCTCTCTGTGTCTCGTCTCTGCTAGTCACTAACACAGGTAACAGAGTCCTGTAGCTCTTGCATTTTCTATCCATCTAATATAGATATACCATTCTTTCTTTCTCTGTTGGTTGTCTTTACCTCTCTGTCTATACCAGTGGTACGGGTATCATAGATGGTGAGAGTGGGGTCAGGCTAAACCAACCACCTAATACTATTACAGATTCACACAACACATCCCCTGCTCTCTCCTTACCTTGCCCCCCCCTCCCTTCTCTGATCCCTCCCTCCCCCATCCTCTCCACAACTTCCCTCTATCCCCCTCCCATCTATCCCCCATCGTGCGACCCTCCTCTTTTAGCACCAGTTCTATGTAAAGCTGTAAGGCATTCTCCATTAAGCTCTCTCTAATCACTACATCTAGCTAGGCCTTCATGAACTATTCAGTGGCCAATCTGGGTTGTTGTTCAGGATTAAACGGCAACCAACACTCTTTGTTTGTTTATTGGGGAAGGCAGAGTTTAGCTAGTTGTGGTCTTTAGAAAGGAGATCATTTGATATTCATTGCAATTGTGGAGGCCTCTTGAGAGTATCTGTGTGAGTGTTGGTTTATGGTCATATCACCCTTTGATGGTCTGTCACCTTGGGGTCTGTATCAAATGGAGGATTTAAAGGCGTGACTGGGAACGGAGGCACCGCAGCACCAAATAAGCTCCCTGCACACTAGGGATGAGCCCCAACTGGCAACCTATTCCCTATATGTGACCCACCACCTGGATTCGGTCCAATGCGTTAGAATTTTTTTATTATTTTTTTATTATTTTTTTTTACATTGGATAAAAGTAGAGACTCAGAGCAAGAAGATGGTATATCATACACTACAATGGGAAAGTAATTCTGCTTTGAAAGTTGACCCCACTTTTGAGAAAATGGCCGTTGAATGTTTTGGTACACCTACTGGAGAGCTCTTCTTTGTCTACACACATTCAGCATCGTTCACACCCTCTTAAGCCTTAGCCCCACCCATCTCTTTAAGGATTCACAGTGTAGTAAACAACCAAAGATTTCAAGACTAAACGTGGTGAAAGTAGTAATAAAAATAAACTTAATCTAGTCGTTGGCCTGTATCCTAATCTGACTTTGGTGCAGGTCATGTTGTGCTTCAAATAACCGTCTCTGCATTGGGAAAGTATTCAGACCCCTTTACTTTTTCCACGTTTTGTTACGTTACAGCCTTATTCTAAAATTGATCACATTGTTTTTTCCCCCTCATCAATCTACACCCAATACCCCATAATGACAAAGCAAAAACAGGTTTTTAGACATTTTTGCAAATGTATAAAAAAACACATACTGAAATATCACATTTACATAAGTATTCAGACCCTTTACTCAGTACTTTGTTGAAGCGCCTTTGGCAACGATTACAGCCTCGAATCTTCTTGGTTGTGACGCTACAAGCTTGGCACACCTGTATTTGGTGGGTTGCTCCCATTCTTCTCTGCAGATGCTCTCAAGCTCTGTCAGGTTGGATGGGGAGCGTCACTGCACAGCTCTTTTCAGAGTCTCTCCAGAGATGTTCGATTGGGTTCAAGTCCGGGCTCTGGCTGGGCCACTCAAGGACATTCAGCGACTTGTCCCAAAGCCACTCCTGCGTTGTCTTGGCTGTGTGCTTAGGGTCGTTGTCCTGAACCTTGGCCCCAGTCTGAGGTCCTGAGCAGGTTTTCCTGACTAGTCTCCCAGTCCCTGCCACTGAAAGATATCCCAACAGCATGATGCTGCCACCACCTTGCTTCACCGTAGGGATGGTGCCAGGTTTCCTCCAGACGTGACACTTCAGGCCAAAGAGTTCAATCTTGGTTTCATCAGACCAGGTCATCTTGTTTCTCATGGTCTGAGAGTCCTTTAGGTGCCTTTGGGCAAACTCCAAGCGGGCTGTCATGTGCCTTTTTACTGAGGAATGGCTTCTGTCTGGCCACTCTACCATAAATGCGTGATCGGTGGAATGCTGCAGAGATGGTTGTCCTTCTGGAAGGTTCTCCCATCTCCACAGAGGAACTCTGGAGCTCTTGCAAAGTGACCATTGGGTTCTTGGTCACCTCCCTGACCAAGGCCCTTCTCCCCCGATTGCTGTTTGGCCGGGCGGCCAGCTCTAGGAAGAATCTTGGCGGTTCCAAACTTCTTCCATTCGAAACTCATCTCCCGGCATGTCCAGCCCATCCATTCTCAGCCAATAATCATGGCTAGCGGGAAGGTTCCTGTCTTTTTTTTTGTGGCTAAACCAACTAGGCTCGTAATTTAACAATTTTATTTGTATTTACAAGTTTGTTATTTAGGCACATAAAAGTCCATGTTCCAGAATTTTTTTTTTAAACGTTCAAATGACTCTCCTGTGAAGTAGTGACGTACGACATACGCTTAGCTTCCTGAAACGTGTCCCCAAATAGTGCACTACTTTTGACCATGGCCTATAGGGCTGTAGTAAAAAGTAGTGTGCTATATAGGGAATAGGGTGCCATTTGGGACAGAGCCTAGCTCTGGGTACCTCCATCACGGTCGGAACAACATGGGTCATAAAAACAGAGTGGACTCCGGAGTCTGGATTCGGTCCTGGTGCTGCTGCTCACTCACACTGAGCTGGAGACGACGGGTATTCATCTCGGCTCAGCTTTCTGAGACCTGCTTTTGGTCTTTATGATCACTTAGCTACGGGCCGGGGTAGCCTGCTGTTAGCTACGGGCCGGGGTAGCCTGCTGTTAGCTACGGGCCGGGGTAGCCTGCTGTTAGCTACGGGCCGGGGTAGCCTGCTGTTAGCTACGGGCCGGGGTAGCCTGCTGTTAGCTACGGGCCGGGGTAGCCTGCTGTTAGCTACGGGCCGGGGTAGCCTGCTGTTAGCTACGGGCCGGGGTAGCCTGCTGTTAGCTACGGGCCGGGGTAGCCTGCTGTTAGCTACGGGCCGGGGTAGCCTGCTGTTAGCTACGGGCCGGGGTAGCCTGCTGTTAGCTACGGGCCGGGGTAGCCTGCTGTTTGCTAAGAGCCGGTTTTTCGGCTGCATTGAGTCAGACCTGTCATTCTGTAGCATGGGTTATTTTCACTTTTATTTACTGTGTACGGTCGATACTGCTTTCCCTCTCTCTCTCTCTCTCTCCATCTCCCCCCCCCCCCCCCCCCCCCCTTCTTATTTACTGTGTACAATAGATATAGCACATTTGATTGACATCCCACCCCTTGGTTCTCCCACCTCCTCCAGTCATGCCTAGGTTCACAGAGCAGGTGGAGGCAGCGGTAGAGGCTCTGAGTGCAAACCCCACCCTCCCCGTTGATGAGAACGAGTTCATCGACGCCTCCCGTCTGGTCTACGACGGAGTCCGCGACATCCGCAAGGCCGTGCTCATGATCAGGGTGAGTGCACACTAGACTCTACATAGTGCACACTAGACTCTACATAGTGCACACTAGACTCTACATAGTGCACACTAGACTCTACATAGTGCACACTAGACTCTACATAGTGCACACTAGACTCTACATAGTGCACACTAGACTCTACATAGTGCACACTAGACTCTACATAGTGCACACTAGACTCTACATAGTGCGCTGTTTATGGGCCTGAACTCTCCTTTACTACCCTGTTGGCATGATCATGTGAGTCTACACACTACATCCACCATGCACTGTTTCATGAGCCTCTCCTTCACTTAAATGTCTTCGCGCCTCAGTAAATTTTACGACTTACAGTTAGTGAGTGCATACATTTGTTCAAATAACACATATGGGGGGGGGGGGGGGGGTAGAAGGATTACTTTATCCTATCCCAGGAATTCTTTAAAGAGGTGGGGTTTCAAATGTCTCCGGAAGGTGGTGAGTGACTCCGCTGTCCTGGCGTCGTGAGGGACCTTGTCAGGGGGTTTAACGTTTTGTCACGGGAGTGCAAAATTTTTCGTTTAGATATCTGTACCCCTTTCTCTCCTCGTTAATCCGACAGCATTGTTAGTCTTCTTCTCTCTGGCGCCTCTCTTCTCCTCCCAACTGCCATGTTTTGCAGCGCCTCCTACTGGAGCGGTGATCCGACTACAGCTAGCCATTTGGCATAGCGACGTCTAGCTCTAACATCGCTCACCCTTTCATTCAATTAAGCAGGTCCCAGACCATGTTTTATAGCCTTAACGTTTATTATCCTGGTAGAGTATGACGTTAATTTAGATTAACACAAACCTTTAGGCCAGCGGGAACGAAGCGCTGTCTGAAAGCCCGTGTGTGTGCAAGCCTGTTTAGTGAACTAGGCTGTGAGTGTGAACTCCGATAGCTGATGCTCTCTGCATCAAGTTTTTAATTTCATGAGTGTGAGAGGTGGGAGGGGTCTACCAAGCGAACATATGGAATTGTTATAAGATGGTCATACCGAGGATCATTTTAGCTTTTTGATTTAGAATTCTAGTATTAATAAATGATTTGATGAAATTGGCCTTACTGCAATATTAGCCCATAGAAACCCATTGAATAACAGATTCACACATGGAAAAACGGTCCCAAAAAGTTTATCAAAAGGAAGTTTGTTCTGAAGTGTCTGTCCTATATCTGAGAGATCAGAAAGATCAGGAAACTATTTCAATTTTATTTAGGCACTTCCAAATGTACTTCCATTTCTTTTTTTAAACTGGTACCGGGCTACGTTCAGAGGCTTGTGGGCGTCCTAGAGCAAAACAACCGACGTGAGACATATTAGTGTGTGTCCCAGACGATTTGGACGCTACAGACGTTTTCGTGAAAAGACCGATTTTTTTGGGATGTCTCATGGTTTGGCAAACAGATGCGGAAGGTCGCCATTGGCGGATGTGGTGGATTGAGACGCAACCCCATGCAAAAACAGATATCTCTAGCTTAAACGGACGGATTGTGACTGGGATTTTTTTTGTTATGCTAATTGGATTTTTGCGAGCTGTTTGCATTATAATAAGGAATTGCTTTAAGATGGTGGTGTTTTCATTAGTATAATTAAGTTGGAGTCAGCAGGACAGAGGGAGAGAGAGAGAGCACTACATTCATTGTTCTCTGCCCCGCTCCACTCTTGTTATCCTGATTGGTTAAGCCGTTAACGCAGGGGCCTGTGGTGCTGGTTAGGGCTGTTGTGGTGACCGTATTATCGCCACACCGACAGTCATTCGTTATGACCTCCAGTAAAATTCCACATGACCATTGATTCACGGTAATCTCTTATGCACTCAGGACATGCGTTGGTCGTACCTTAACATCCATCAGGTCCTAATGGCCTGGTACTCAGGGCTATATTGTGCCTCTAACCACTCTGACATCAATGTAAATGCAATCTAAAATCACATCAAACACTTATCATCAAACAGTATCATGCTTTTAAAACTCACCTCACCGTGATGATCAATTTGAAGAGAGAAGTTCATAAGCAGGTTGAAACTGAGTGTTAAACATGGTACTTGTGGATCTTGTTTCAAAGCCTAACACAGCAAAATGGACAGCGCTTTCTAAGGTGATGATTAATTCATAACACCCGTACGCATATTAGAGATTATGCATGGGCTTATGATCCCAGGCCCTTCCTAAAAAAACTGAATTAAATTGATGATTGTGCTCTTACACAATACCTAGTCTAACACATATTATGCATGGCAGAAAAACACAAAACAAAACTGATTGAAGATGTCTTTGGTACGTCATTGTTCTAGCCTACACTCCACAATTAAACACATTTGAATAATCTCCTTTGAGCGTGGACTGTATTATTATGCATACTGGATGGACTGGTTACCTCATGCTACGCTGCTACAAAATGTCTATCCATGAGTCTGGGAGAGAACGTATAACCCAAGTCGATGCTGTTGGTTCATTGATTGTGCAGGGTGGCATACAGTTAGCTTACAATTAGTGAATTTGTATATGATTTTGAATAGCCTAGAAATAGATTATTTAATATTTTCATGCGTTTTCATCTCCTCTCGCTCCTTTATTCCTTTCTCAAGCGCGCAGATGGGCTGTCAACAGTTAAGTGAAATATGTTTCGTTGCGAAAACATGTTACAATCGATGTTCCAGAACAGATTTCACTTGGTTTCCCAAATTAAGCGCTGGGTAGCTGCAGGAACAGGGTTGGAGAGCCCATGGCATACAGAGTTTGGGCAGAATATCACCTGTCGCGCAGCGAGAGCATGCTCCTCAAACAGTGCTTGATGTGTGAAGTGAAATAAGTGTTATATTTATTTTTCAGCTGCTCATACTAAGCACAGCTCCGCTATAAAACCGAAGTAGCCTTTCCAGCATCATTGACAAACTGACTGGCGGGTAAGCACCCAGCCTCCATTTGCTGTTCGAGTGCTATACGGTTGACGTCTTTTATTTTTTTTATTTTTTTCCTGCCTCTGTTCCTTCCCATTTGATAATGGGCCATTCTAAATCTAAGCTAATTTGACATATTAGTAAAAACAAGATTGAATTGAGAATTGATGGGTGAAAATATGATCACTTGATGAGAGAACAGCTGTGCAGCCCGAGGCAAGGAACAGAGCGCAAGCTTATTTTTTTTTTCAGACTTTCTCAAATCATCAATAGACTATAGTCGCATCATGCAGCCCATATGTTTAGATTTTTAACACATTCTAAGGTTTTTATAATTTACAACTAAAGTTGCCAAATAACTCTAAATCAACCGTACAGGACCTGTTTAAATCAACCGTACAGGACCTGTTTCAAATGATCATTTTATACACTCAACATCCAGAATGGGAAAAATATCCTTTCTATTTTATTCAGCTAAGTTCAATGATATTCTTCTTACTATAAAATCATATAATATAAAATAATAGCAGGGACTTATAAGCGTATCTTGTCTGCTAAATGAACAAGCCTACAGCCTATGGCATGGAGCATAGCCAGGTAACATACAGTAGGCCAACTCGTATTCTGTTCTTCTGAAATACATTTTCTTCGTATCATAATGTTTCTTTAGACCTGACTAAAATAAATTGATTCATTGTGATGGTGTATATTAAATTGATTTATTTACTTTGTTAATGTAGATGTTCCAAAGGTGTGCATCAGCTGCTTGTATGCAGCTTGTATCCCCTGTAGTTCAGTTGGTAGAGCATGGCGCTTGCAACGCCAGGGTTGTGGGTTCGTTTCCCACGGGGGGGCCAGTATGAAAATGTATGCACTCACTTAACTGTAAGTCGCTTTGGATAAGAGTGTCTGCTAAATGACTAAAATGTAAATGTCGATGTATGCGTGAAGCCCTGGAGTTGCTAAACTTGTTTGTTAATTAACGTTCAATTACCGTGAGACCGGCAGACTTTTGCATGACAATAACCGGCTGACAAAATGTCATGACCGCCACAACCATGTGTTTAGCTACCTGGTTGTGTGTGTTGGTTTATGTCTAGTGCTAGGATTGATGAGAAGCCTAGTTACTAGTCTACATCTGGTTCAGTCGACCCATTGGACCCCCCCCGTGTTGCTGTAGACGGCTCTGATCAGACCTGAGGGTTAGTCAGCGCCACAGGGTCCTCTGGGATTAGACTGGAGCAGAAACACACATGAAGCAGGGTTTCCTCTGGGATTAGACTGGAGCAAAAACACACACGAAGCAGGGTTTCAGGCTCTGATCAGTCCCTACACCCAAACGAGGGCATTGCGTTCATCCACCTCTGGCCTGCTGGCTCCCCTTCCTCTGCGGAAGCATAGTTCCCGCTCAGCCCAGTCAAAACTGTTCGCTGCTCTGGCACCCCAACGGTGGAACAAGCTCCCTCACGACGCCAGGACAGCGGAGTCACTCACCACCTTCCGGAGACATTTGAAACCCCACCTCTTTAAGGAATACCTGGGATAGGATGAAGTAATCCTTCTACCCCCCCAATAAAATACAAAAAAATCAAAAATTAATAAAAAAGAAAGAAAAATGTATAATTTTTTTTTTTTTAAATTAACAAAAAATAAAGAAAGAAAAATTTATAAAAAATAAAGAAAGAAAAATTATTAAAAAATATATATATATACTTTATTGTAAACTGGTTAACCCACTGGCTATAGGGTGAATGCACCTATTTGTAAGTCGCTCTGGATAAGAGCGTCTGCTAAATGACTTAAATGTAAATGTTTCCTCTGGGATTAGACTGGAGCAGAAACACACACGAAGCAGGGTTTCCTCTGGGATTAGACTGGAGCAGAAACACACACGAAGCAGGGTTTCCTCTGGGATTAGACTGGAGCAGAAACACACACGAAGCAGGGTTTCCTCTGGGATTAGACTGGAGCAGAAACAGGCCCCCTCCTTGACCACCCACTGGGTATAAGATGTCACTGGACTGGTAGAGGGGGAGGAAGACGGATTAGAGAGGGAGGAAGAGGGACATTCCACTGACTGGACGGGTTCAGAGAGAGCAGTTACAGTAG